ACCAGAGGGGCAGAGCTAGGTCTGCACATGCCCCGTACGGGCGGAAGGAGCCATCCGGTTGCGCCTGCGCTGTAGGTCGATCTGGCGCCTCCGCCTTCGCGGCCAGGAAATCGACCAGAGATGCCGGCGGGATGGTCCCGCGATGCCAGGTGAGCGTGGGGACCCCTCGCGGATGTGTCTGTCTCTTCCTCTTTCCTCCACAGACCCGGTGCTGCTCAGCTAGGCGCGCGGTGCAGCCACCTGACTGTGCGGTGACCGTCACAGCTGCGCAGACCCCTCCCCTCCGGGCTTGGCTGCGGCCGCCTCAGGGAAAGTTCCGTTTGCTTCATGAACTCTTGGCCTCCTAGGTGTCGGTGCCGAAGACGGCTGATTTCTGAAGTCACCTTCGACCTTTCTCCTTGTCTCAGATTATTCGTTTTGATGAAAACAGGTTTTCAATTTAAAAAGAAATGCACCTAACCAAGAATTCCTGTGAAGAACTGTTATTCATCTGTGCATTTGCAAATCCTTGATTATTTGCAAACTTCTGATTATTAGAGAATTATTTGCATACAGAGTGATAGGTGGGTTATTTTATTTGGTCGGATCCCTTAAATAGCAGGTTAACTGGAAAGGTTTGTGCTAATAAGTACCAGTTTATCCCGTATTTTAAAAACATCCGCTTTTATTAATGTCAGGGTTTGTGTGTTGCATAACTTAATCCTCCCAGCTGGGTTCAGTGCTATGTAGACTGGAATCAAAGGTCATATGACAGCCACGAAAGGCGTGTCTTTCGTTTATGCGGTCATTTATTTTGGGTAATTAATCTCAATCTCACGTTTGTTCACTAAGTGTTTATAAAAGGTGCTATAATTTTATGTCAATTAAACAATGGCGTAGTTTCTAAAAAAATACTGTTAGGATTCTAGTTGTGGTACACTTAACATTTGTAAAATTCAAAAGCATCTGGAAATTAGTCCTAATTGTGCTTAAAACATAAAAATTTTTGACTTGTAGATACACTGAAAATTTTATGGGTGACTAAACTTTTTTCTATCTTATAAAATTTGTCTTTGATCAAAGTAATACATTTAGAAAACAAGGAAGTCAGCCTGGACAGTCATAAAAGGACATAAGTTGTTACTAAAGCATTTTCTCTCCTTTTCAGGTTCAAGTGTTGTATTTTGCAAAAAGTGCTGAAATAGCAGGAATTCGCTCCGAGACCATTTCTGTGCCACAAGAAATAAAAGCATTGCATCTTTGGAATGAGATAGAAAAGCGACATCCTGGGTAGTTAAAAATAGAATGCATATGATTAGCACTTTTAATATTTTTAAAATGTGTAAATGAGTAACTGCTGAAAGTAAAAAGCAGTTAGTTTTGAATTGCCATGCTTCCTGTCAAAAAATTGTGTTTTTCTGGAACTATTCCAGAAAACACATGCCTGTTTGTACTCAGGCTCCCCAGAATGGCTCAGAGCAGATGCAGAATCATATCATCAAAAGTGTGTGATGGGTGGCTTCCACTGAAAGTGGGATAAAATCCAAACTGGCTCTCAGGACCTCTCACAAGCCACATGTTCAGATTCCCTTTAATTTCTTCAGAATCATCTTCCCAGGGTCTCTCCATTTTCTTGTATTTCAGCCACACTGGCCTCTCTTCCACTGTTCAAACGTACTGAATCCTTGTCTATCTCTGGGTTGCCTCTGCCCAGAAGGCTCTTCCCCCAGCATCTCCCAAGGCTGGCTCCCCTCATCCTTTGGGGCTCAGCTCAGGTCAGGTGATGTCATTCCCCATAACCCTAACACTCACCCACCCTGCACTTCCCTGACTTACTTCCTTCTTAGCATTCATCACAAACTGTTCTTATTTGTTTTCTTACATTTAGTCTGGTAACTATATGTACCTAACTATAATGTAAGCTCCATGAGGCGAGGATCTTATTTTCATAGTTCATGGATATATCCTTGGTAAATAACAATAAGCACTCAATAAATACTTAAGAGAATAAACAAATTAAAAAGTCACACAACACAGAAATTCACAAAGAGGAGAGCAAAATTAGTTTTTAAATCATCCACACTTCCACTACCCACATATGGTAAGTATTACTCCATCCCTGTTCTGTGGGCATTAATGTTCCATAGATATAATTTTTTTAATGCCATTACACTATATACTATTTTCCTTTTTAAAGTTTATTTTTACTTAAATTTAATAACAGGAAAATAACTGAAGTAAAACTGAAGGGATTACAGATCATTGGTTTATTATTTATTCACTATAGTTGCCCCTGAAAGAGCCTTCTAAAATTAAGAAACAAGATTATGAAAATTATTAAGAGACTTTAATCAATGTTTTATAACTACATGTTCCAATTTTGGGCAGTTTCTATTATCTTTTTAATATTGTGATGTCACTTACATTTTACTCCATAACCATTACCCCATAATTGATGTCTGTTTTATATTTAAATGGATTAAAATCTCACCTCCAGTTTTTTTGTTTTTACCACTAATTTCTTAATTAATGAGTTTTTTAGTTTGATTACTCTCTTGATTGATCGGAATTTTGCCCAAGGAGATCTTTTAAAAAGGGTTCTTGGGTATTTTTTTAGCTTTTGCAAGCTTAGGAGTGTCCGGCTTTGGCCTTTATTGACACCAGATCAGCTGTAAGTAACATTTTAGGTATTTTGTTCTCAGTCCTTTTTAGATACTGCACACCACCATCCTCTGGCATTAAATGTCACAGAGAAATCTAAGGCCATTGTCATCATTCCCATTTTTCTGTCTGGGTATGAATATAATTCTTTATTCTAGATATTTAGCAACTTTATTGTAATATATGTTGGTTTTAATCAGTTCTTTTCCATTTTTCTTGTCTGGTATCTCCATCCTTATTGCCACTCCTTCTTGCAAGGGGTCATGTCCACCTTGCCAACTACTTGCCCTTCTGTGATCTCATCGTATTGTTTTATATGCCCCTGACTTGTCACAGACTAGTGAAATTCCCTTATTCCTCCCATCACTGTGCTATTTGCTGGTACCCAATTCCAGCAGATTTAGGTCAAGCATCTCCTCCATGAACACTTCCTAGAGTACAATCCTCAGGTGACCAGGCACTTTTCCCTGTTCACCCCCATGAAATGTAACTTGCAACCCTAGTATTATATTTGGCATACTGAATGGCCGTTAATGGCTTATGTTTCAATCCAGACTGTGGTCTCCAAGGAGAGGGCATCTAGCTTATATCCACAAAACTACTTAATTTAAAACAGAGTTCTTGTTGGTAAAAAGTTGGAAACTTTGGATGGGTAGTATGTGGATAAATCACTGTGCAGCTACAACAGGAAGAGTGTAAATCTGATATAGTTCCAATGCTCTAAATTGAATGCACTTTCTTTAAGAGACACTAGCTTTATACAGGTAGGTTAAGTGTCAAGAGAAGCTGACAGGTGAGTGAGTTGGGAAAGCCAGATTTCCATAACGCAGGTGTCAAGTGTCCGGTAGAGTACAATGTGTGCTCTCTCGCATCTTTGCCTCTCGTTTAAGGAGACAGGCATGCATGGCCAGTCCTTCTCCCACTCAGTGATACCTACAGCTCGAGCTGGCCACCGGGACCTACCTGCTAGTGAAAGCTCAGCTTTTCGCTCAGCTGTCTGCAGCGGGAACCCGGAGAGGAGACCAGAGGGGCAGAGCTAGGTCTGCACATGCCCCGTACGGGCGGAAGGAGCCATCCGGTTGCGCCTGCGCTGTAGGTCGATCTGGCGCCTCCGCCTTCGCGGCCAGGAAATCGACCAGAGATGCCGGCGTGATGGTCCCGCGATGCCAGGTGAGCGTGGGGACACCTCGCGGATGTGTCTGTCTCTTCCTCTTTCCTCCACAGACCCGGTGCTGCTCAGCTAGGCGCGCGGTGCAGCCACCTGACTGTGCGGTGACCGTCACAGCTGCGCAGACCCCTCCCCTCCGGGCCTGGCTGCGGCCGCCTCAGGGAAAGTTCCGTTTGCTTCGCTTCATGAACTCTTGGCCTCCTAGGTGTCGGTGCCGAAGACGGCTGATTTCTGAAGTCACCTTCGACCTTTCTCCTTCTCTCAGATTATTCGTTTTGATGAAAACAGGTTTTCAATTTAAAAAGAAATACACCTAACCAAGAATTCCTGTGAAGAACTGTTCTTCATCTGTGCATTTGCAAATCCTTGATTATTTGCAAACTTCTGATTATTAGAGAATTATTTGCATACAGAGTGATAGGTGGGTTATTTTATTTGGTCGGATCCCTTAAATAGCAGGTTAACTGGAAAGGTTTGTGCTAATAAGTACCAGTTTATCCCGTATTTTAAAAACATCCGCTTTTATTAATGTCAGGGTTTGTGTGTTGCATAACTTAATCCTCCCAGCTGGGTTCAGTGCTATGTAGACTGGAATCAAAGGTCATATGACAGCCACGAAAGGCGTGTCTTTCGTTTATGCGGTCATTTATTTTGGGTAATTAATCTCAGTCTCACGTTTGTTCACTAAGTGTTTATAAAAGGTGCTATAATTTTATGTCAATTAAACAATGGCGTAGTTTCTAAAAAAATACTGTTAGGATTCTAGTTGTGGTACACTTAACATTTGTAAAATTCAAAAGCATCTGGAAATTAGTCCTAATTGTGCTTAAAACATAAAAATTTTTGACTTGTAGATACACTGAAAATTTTATGGGTGACTAAACTTTTTTCTATCTTATAAAATTTGTCTTTGATCAAAGTAATACATTTAGAAAACAAGGAAGTCAGCCTGGACAGTCATAAAAGGACATAAGTTGTTACTAAAGCATTTTTCTCTCCTTTTCAGGTTCAAGTGTTGTATTTTGCAAAAAGTGCTGAAATAGCAGGAATTCGCTCCGAGACCATTTCTGTGCCACAAGAAATAAAAGCATTGCATCTTTGGAATGAGATAGAAATGCGACATCCTGGGTAGTTAAAAATAGAATGCATATGATTAGCACTTTTAATATTTTTAAAATGTGTAAATGAGTAACTGCTGAAAGTAAAAAGCAGTTAGTTTTGAATTGCCATGCTTACTGTCAAAAAATTGTGTTTTTCTGGAACTATTCCAGAAAACTTAAAAATACACAATTCCTTACAGAACTTTAAAGATACTTGAAAAATACAGTGAGCTGGGATACTCCCAAAAGAACATGATTATATTTGCTTTTATAATTTACAAAATACTGAAATGTAGATTCTGCATTTTTATAACATTAAATAAAATAGTTTCAAATTCTGTTAAAAATATGTGCTTTAAATTTTTATGTCCACCCCTTTAGAGAACTTAAAATAGAAATGTGTAAAATTAAAAGAACAAATCTTAGCTGCTGTTGAATAAGTTTTTGCAATATAAGATTTTTTTCTGATTCTTAAAAATCTGTAATTTTACTGCTTTTGTTCCTAACTCAAGTCCTTTTTGGAACAAAGTGGCTTACTTGAAGTTGTTCAAGGACTATTAATAGTGTCATGTCTGTACAGATTTTTAATTTTGGAAGTCCTGCTGTTATGTAACAAACACTCCACTATGTATGTTCTAAAGGAAAAGTACTCCTCTTTAACTTCATATATATTAAGTTGCTCTTAAAAGTCCCTGATAATAAATGAAATATTGTGGGGGTTGTGTCTTACCTGTAACCTTTTACCTGCTGGGAGACACCTGGTCTTCTGGGTACTTCTGAGGTACACTTAGACTACAAGGTTCCTAGGAGAGGGATGGCATGTACTGATTAGGAAAATTTTCTTTCTTTCTTTCTTTTTTGACCTGAATGTTGAAATGTAAATATTTTCCTCAGTCTAGTTTTGGTTTTAGTCTGGGTTTGGGTGTTTTTTTTGTTTGTTTGTTTTTTATTTCCCCAGGACATATGAGGTCCAGTAAAGATGTGTTAGCGGTTCACTGTGTTCTCTTTGGTAAATAAGTACATTCTTCAGTGAATGTGTCCTTTCTCTGCAGAACATGAATTAGTTTGTATTAATTAGTAGCTTTGCAGATAATATTTTTTAAGGTAATATTTATGTAACTTTTTAATTGAAGCTGAAGAGACTTTGAGGACTAACAGCATTGTTACTTCTAATTATACTTTTTCCTCTTCAGATTGGCTGATATTAGAAATCAAGTGATATTTGCTGTTCGTCAAGAATATGTCGAGCTTGGAGATCAACTCCTCCAGCTTCAATCAGGAGATGAAATTGCCATTATCCCTCCCATTAGTGGAGGGTAGTGCTTTTGAGCCACCTGGGTATGTGAGTTAATTTTTCTTAACCAGTCTTGTGGAGAACTTGTATACTCTGTAAGTTGTTGCACCAACTTTTTCGTAAAGCAGCAACTCCCTTATTGGTGCAGACAGACTTAGAAATGCCTGTCATCTCTGCATCTGTTCTTTTGTAAGCAGTTTAATGTCAGTGTGATGTGTTCATTCTATTCACTTAACATGGTTTATTGAGATTTTATTATGTGTCAAGCACAGTGCTGGATGCTGGTGTATCAATATACCTATTTTGCAGGAGGAAAACTGAAATTCAGAGAAGTTAAAAAAACTTGTCTATGATCATATAGCAAATAAGTGACAGCCAACATTTGAACTCAGATTATTGGAATCTCTGTTTACTTTTCTACAGATATGCTTATTAATACTAGGTAATAGCTTTCCTGGGCACAGAGATTTCTACAGATATGCTTATTAATACTAGGTAATAGCTTTCCTGGGCACAGAGAAATGTAGAAATATTGCATAACCTGAAAGTAAAAAGATTACTGTGCCTAAAAAGAAAAAGAAAACAGGTTTATTATTACAACTGTGTTGCAGGGGACTCTGGGACCCATGTCATCTCTCCAAACAATGTCCCTATCTGAGCAGGGTGATCTGTAAGAACATTTCTCAGTATAGTCTGGAGAGAAATACAGAATGAGGCTTAATTTATTGTCAACTGAAGAACAAATAATGTAGAAATGAACAATCCATAATTAAAAACTCTTGTTAAGTTAGGACTGAAAGAAAACTTTCTTAATTTAGTAGGGATTTTCCCCGAAATCAAAAGTAAGAAAGGATCAAGTCAAGGATGTCTTTATTTTTTGCAGCCAGTCTCCCCCTCTCTTGGTGGGCAGTGCTCTAAAAAGTGGAGAATAAATGCTTGTGAAGCAAATTGTCAAGCATTTCCAGATTAGATCTTTCATAGTCCTACTACTTGCATGTAACAGAAGAATTCCTTGTTAGATATGTATCTCAATTTTGTTTGGAAATTCTGGTCACCGTATCACCACCGTTTTAAAAAAATGCTCTTTTTCATTGTTTGGAATTTATTCAGAAAACAAAGGGTTGCATTAAAGATGTGTGTGTGTGAGTGAGGATTAGAGCTGTTCTTTGGGAAGATTTGGAAGATGACTCAACATCATTGTGTTTGACTAATCTCTGATTACACACATTATTTGAGTGTGTTTGATAGGAGTTGTGACATGTAGTTTTACAATCTGTGTCCTTATAGAATTAAGTTGTGGAAGCTCTGTATACTTTGAAATTCATAAACAATGTTTGAGGTAACCTATGTCTCACTGTAAGAAAAAGAGGTGGAGGGGGGCATGTCCAGGAGGTTGAAACATCTGATATCCAGTGGCATATGGATAATTGTTTTTTCCTTCTCAGTAGCAGGAAGGAGGTTGGGAAAAGAACATTGGACTTAGTGAGAGTCCTTGGTTGCAATCACCTTGAGTGAGTCCTTACCTCCTTTGAGCCTTTTTTCTCACATCTTTCAATGTGGATGAGACTCCACAGGATTTCTGATTATATCCAGACTCCTTGTGGCCTGCCAGGGTCTGAACTACCTGCCCAACCTCAGCCCTGCTTCCTCCTGGTAGGTTCTGGTGGGTTCTGGAGCACAATATGCTCTTTCCTGTTCCAGAGCCTTTGTGTTTGCCAGGCCCTCTGTCCCTGCCTGGGGGCCTGTCTTGATATTTCTTAATAGGACTGCCTTCTTATCTTTCAGGTCTCAACTCTAACTATTACTTCTTGAGAGAGGATTTCTACAATCCTCTTAACTAAGTGACACCATCCCTAGCCCCCAGGCACTGTCTCAGAACCCTGTTTATCCACAAGTCACCCTATTTGTAATCCCTGCTTATCGCTTTGTTTCCACCATTCCCATGTAAGTGCCCTGAGGGCTGAAGCCAGGTCCTTTGTTTCCTGGCCTATGTCTAGTGCATGAGGATAGTCTCTGGTCCTTAGAGAGTATGTAATAAATGCTTGATGAATGAAATGAGAAATTCATGGCAAAGGACTTCGTACAACGTCTGTTGCATAGGTTTGCAGTTCACTTCCCTATTTCTTCAGTTACTTAATTGGTCGTGAAAGGAACCCAGATCTTGAGGAGTCACCATCACTTCTGCTCTCCCTCTCTCCTTTTTGGATAAAAAAATGCCTGTCCTAGGTGTGGTGCTTGGAAATGTAGTGGTTAGATGTGATGAGCATGTGAATGAAAGTGCCACTGTCTGAACTATACCATGATAGGAGATAAGAGTAGCAATTCCAGATTTTGGAATAAATTGATTACATTTTAAGTGATCCATGTTAATGGTGAATTCCTTTTTATATCATGCTTGATTCATTAGGATATTTATAAACATACTGAGTTTCACTAAAATTTCACACTTGCTTATTTTAATATTTAGATGAAATCATGCCTCCTAACACATTTAATGTAGAAGAAATATAAATTGAAATACAGTCTGTAAATTGGGTGCTTTGCCTTTAATACTGGTGTTAAGGTTTTTTTTTTTAAATTTATTGAAGTATACTTGATATACAACATTACATTAGTTTTAGGGGTAAAATATAGTGACTTGATAATTATCTACATTATTAAATGCTTGCCTTAAGTGTAATTTACCATCTGTCAATGTACAAAGAAATTATAGTGTTACTCTCTTTCCTATGTTATGCTTTCATCTCTCTGATTAATTAACTTATAACTGGAATTTTATACTTCTTTGTCCTCTTCACCTATCTTCATCCCCAGCCTTCCACCTCCCCTATGGCAACCACCAGTCTTCTGTGTCTCCAGGGCCCTATTTCTGTTTTGTTTTGTTTGTTTGTTAGATACCACATACAAGTGAAATCATATGGTATTTGTCATTCTCTGCCTAGCCTGTTTCACTCAGCATAATACCCTCTAGGTCCATCCATGTTGTCACAAATGGCAAGATTTCATTCTTTTTTATAGTTGAGTCATATTCCTTTGTATATATGTACCACATCTTCTTTATCCATTTAATAATTATTGATGGATGCTTAGGTTGCTCCATATCTTGCCTATAGTAAATAATGCCACAAGTAAACATAGGAGTACATGTATCTCTTCAAATCAGGGATTTTGTTTTCTCCTAGAATTGGAATCACTAGGTCCTGTGGTATTTCTATTTTTTTAGTTTTTTGAGAAACCTCCATACTGCTTTCCATAGTGGCTACACCAATTTATATTCCCACCAAAAATGTATGAGTTCCCTTTTTTCTACATTTTCAAAAACCCTTGTTATTTCCTGAATTTTGGACAGTAGCCATTCTGACTAGCATGAGCTGGTATCTCATTGTGGCTTTGATTTGCATTTCCCTGATGATTAGTGATGTTGAGTATCGTTTTGTGTATTTGTTGGCCTTCTGTGTATCTTCTTTGGAAAAAGATTTATTCTGGTCCTCTGTCCATTTTTTAATTGGATTAGTTGAATTTTTAGTGTTGAGTATTTATTTGGGATGTTAACCCCTTGTCACATGTATCATTTGCAAATATCTTCTCCCACTCAGTAGGTTGGCTTTTCATTTTGCTGACAGTTGTCCTTGCTATGCATAAGCTTTCAAAGCATTTGATGTAGTTCCATGTGTATATTTTTACTTTTGTTTCCCTTGCCTGGGGAGACATGCCTAGAAAAAAATGAACTAATACCAGTGTTGAAGAGTGTACTGCCTGTGTTTTAGTCCAGGGGTTTTATGGTTTTAGTTCAGATTTATTCCTATGTAAGATGTAAGACAGTGATACAATTTCATTCTTTTGCATGTAGCTGTCCAGTTTTCCTAACACTATTTATTGAAGAAGCTATTGTGTTTCTTGGCTCTCTGTTCTGTTCCATTGATCTGTGTGTCTGTTTTGGTGCTGGTGCCATATTGTTTTTACTGCTCTAGCTTTGTGGTATTGTTTGCACTTAGAGAGTATGATACTTCCAGTTTTGTTCTCCTGTCCCAGTATTGCTTTGACTCTTTGGGGTTTTTTGTGTTTCCATACACATTTTAGGATTATTTACTATGAATAATGAAAATGTTCATAATTTTTACTAAACAGCAAAAAATGCCCTTGGTATTTTGATAGGGATTATATTGATTCTGTAGATTGCTTTGGGTGGTATGGACATTTTAACAATACTAATTCTTCATATACATGTGCATAGAATATCTTTCCGTTTATTTGTGTTTTCTTCACTTTCTTTGATCAGTGACTTATGGTTTTCAGAGTACAGGTCTTTCACCTCCTTGGTTAGATTCATCCTAGGTATTTTATTATTATTGACGCAATTGTAAATGGGATTTTAAAAAATTTCTCTTTCTACTAATTTGTTATTTGTATATGGAAACACAAGAGATTTTGGTATATTAACTTTTGTGTCTTGCAACTTTATTGAATTCATTTATTCATTCTAATAGCTTTTTGGTGGCATCTTTAGGGTCTTATGTACATGTATGATGTCATCCACCAACAGTGACAGTTTTACTTTTTACCTACCAATTTGAATGCCTTTTATTTCTTGTCTGATTCCTTGGCTAGGACTTCCAGTACTATGTTGAATAAAAGTGGTGAGAGTGGGCATCCTTGTCTTGTTCCTGATCTTAGGGGAAAATTGTTTAGCTTTACACCATTGAATATGATACTAGTGGTGGGTTTGTTGTATATGGTCTTCATGATGTTGAGTTATGTTCCCTCTGTACCCACTTTGTTGAGAGTTTTTATCATGTTTTGTCAAATGCATTTTAAGCATCTATTGAGAGGACCATATGGTATTTATCCTTCCTTTTGTTAATGTGTATCATATTGATTGCTTTGTGAATATTGAACCATCCTTGCATAGGGATGGACTAAATCCCACTTGGTAAATGATCCTTTTGATGTATTTTTGAACGTGGTTTGCAGATAGTCTGTTGAGGATTTTTGCATGTTCATTGGGATATTAGTCTGTAATTTTATTGTAGTGTCATTGTCTAGCTTTGGTACTAAGGTAATGCTGGCTTTGTAGAATGAGTTTGGAAGCACACCTTCTATCCTATTTTTTTTTAATCATTTAAGAAGGATAATTATTGGTTCTTCTTTAAATGTTTGGTAGAGTTTACCTGTGAAGCCATCTGGTTCTGGACCTTTGTTGGGACAGATGGGTTACTAGTGGTGGGTTTGTTGTATATGGTCTTCATTATGACCCACTGATTACTGATTGAATTTTGTTACTGTAATTGGTCTGTTCAGATTTTTCTATTTTTTCTTTGTTCAGTGTTGGAAGATTGTATGTTTCTAGGAATTTATCCATTACTTCTAGGTTGTCCAGTTTGTTGGAGTATAATTTGTAGAATTCTGTCCTTTTAATTTCTGTGGTGTTGGTTTGGGGAAGTTTGCAGCTATTATTTCTTCAAATAAATTTTCTGCCCCTTTCTCTCTTCTTCTGAGACCCTTATTATGCAAATGTTTAGTCTGAAATTGTTGCAGAGATCTTAGAATCTTCTCATTTTTAAAAATTCTTTTAACTTTTCTGTTGCTCAACTTGGTTGCTTTCCACTGTCCTGTCTTCTAGGTCACTGATCCGTGCTTCTGCATTCTCTAGTCTGCTGTTGACACCCTCTGTTGTATTTTTCATTTCAGTAATTGTATTTTTCAGCTGTGGCTGGTTCTGTTTTATTTTTGCTGTATCTTTGTTAAAGTCTTCCCTGAGTTAGTACGTTCTTCTCTGTAGTTCAGTGATTGTCTCTATATTTTAAATTCTTTTTGTACTATTTTTTTCAAAAATTTTATTAAGGTATTATTGATATACACTCTTATGAAGGTTTCACATGGAAAAACAGTGTGGTTACTACATTTACCCATATTATCAAGTCTCCACCCATACCCCAATGCAGTCACTGTCCATCAGTGTAGTAAGATGCCACAGATTCACTGTTTGCCTTCTCTGTGCTACACTGTTTTCCCCGTGATCCCCACACCATGTGTACTAAACATAATAACCCTCAATCCCCTTTTCCCTCCCTCCCGACCCACCCTTCCCCACCCCTCCCTTTGGTAACCACTAGTCCCTTCTTGGAGTCTGTGAGTCTGCTGCTCTCTTGGTCCTTCAGTTTTGCTTCATTGTTATACTCCTCAAATGAGGGAAATCATTTGGCATTTGCCTTTTTCTGCCTGGCTTATTTCACTGAGCATAATATCCTCCAGCTCCATCCATGTTGTTGCAAATGGTAGGATTTGTTTCTTTCTTATGGCGGAATAGTATTCCATTGTGTATATGTACCACCTCTTCTTTATCCATTCATCTACTGGTGGACACTTAAGTTGCTTCCATATCTTGGCTATTGTAAAAAGTGCTGTGATATGTCTTTTTGAATCTGAGAGGTTGTATTCTTTGGGTAAATTCCAAGGAGTGGGATTCCCGGGTCAAATGATATTTCTATTTTTAGTTTTTTGAGGAACCTCCATATTGCTTTCCACAATTGTTGAACTAACTTACCTTCCCACCAGCAGTGTAGGAGGGTTCCCCATCCTCACCAGCATTTGTTGTTCTTAGTCTTTTCGATGCTGGCTATCCTAACTGGTGCGAGGCAGTATCTCATTGTGGTTTTAATTTGCTTTTCCCTGATGATTAGTGATGTGGAGCATCTTTTCATGTCTGTTGGCCATCTGAATTTCTTCTTTGGAGAATTGTCTGTTCATATCCTCCACCCATTTGTTGATGGGGTTATTTGCTTTTTGGGTGTTGAGGCATGTGAGTTCTTTATATATTTTGGATGTTAGTTGTTGGATATGTCATTTACAAATATATTCTTCCATACTCTAGGATCCCTTTTTGTTCTGTTGATGGTGTCCTTTGCCGTACAGAAATTTTTTAATTTGATGTAGTCCCATGTGTTCATTTTTGCTTTTGTTTCCCTTGCTTCAGGAGATGCATTCAGGAAGAAGTTGCTCATGTTTATATTCAGGAGATTTTTGCCTACGTTGTCTTCTAAGAGTTTTATGGTTTCATGACTTACATTCAGGTCTTTGATCCATATTTGAGTTTACTTTTGTGTATGGGGTTAAACAATAATCCAGTTTCATTCTCTTGCATGTAGCTGTCCAGTTTTGCCAACACCAGTTGTTGAAGAGGCTGTAATTTCCCTATTATATGTCCATGGGACTTGAATTCTTTATCAGGTAGATTGCTTATCTCTGTTTCACTTAGCAAATTTTCTGATGTTTTCTTCTTTTGTTTGGAACATAATCCTTTTGCTTTCTCACTTTATCTGGTTATCTGTGTTTGTTTCTGTGTACTGGATCAGCTATGTCTCCTCATTGACAGCTGTAGCCTTATGTAGTAAGCATCCCATGGTGCCCAGAAACACAAAACCCCCTGTTCACTAGAGCCAGGCACTCCAGGGGTGTCCCTTCTGTGGACTGTGTGCACCCTCCTGTTTTGGCTGAGCCAGGACTACTGTGGGCATGCTGATGGATGGAGTCAGTCCTCAGCCTGTCTGCCAGCAATGGCTGATGCAACTACCACTGGGCTGGGCATGTTGGGTGGGGCAGTCTGCAGAGGAATGCTGGGCAGAGCAAGTGGCACTGGTAGAGTAGATGGAGAATTTTAGAACTGACTCCTGCAAGTGTCTGGCCAACTAGGCTGAGGGAGGGCTGGAAAAATGGTGTCCGCCAGCCCTTCCTCCCCCAGAGGGAGCTCCTGAATACTCCCACCTCTCCAGCACACTTCCCATAGTTAATAAATCTTTCAAACTACTTTCTCTGTTGGGTCTCAGACCAGTTGACACAGAATGCTGGTCCTCCATGAGTGGAGACTCGACCTCCCACAGCCCTCCAGCTCTCCCTGGAGTTAAGCCTCACTGATTTTTAAAGCCAGATGCTATGGGGGGCTCATCTTCCCAGGGCAGATCCCCAGGGCCAGGTGTGCTGGCTTTCAGGGACTTTATCTCCTCCCCCATTGATTGCTCACTCCCTTCTGCAAATCCATTGGGGTGGCTTGGATCCTGGTCTGTGGGGACCCTGTTCTTCACTTTTCTTGGTGTGGCCTTCTCTGTTGTTAGCTGTAGAAGGTCTGTTCGGTCACTGTTCATGTAGTTTTCAGAATTAGTTGTATTAGATGTAGTGTATGAGAGAGGATTATCAGTGACCTCCTCTTCCACCATCTTCCCAGATTTCTAATGTTAATGTTTATTAATATCTTACTTCTAGGAAATATATGAATGAAGTTGAAGAGAAATCTATAGATATAATAAAATTCACTGCTGACAAACTCTCAGTCAATGAAGTCTCACAGTTGGTGATTTCTCCACTCTGTGGTGCAATATCCCTATTTGTAGGTGAGTTGTAATTTTCACAGCATCTACTTACTACACAAGATGATAGAAATTAGCAAGTGTTTCCCATGTTCAGTGTTAATAGGGGATTTCAAGATACTGAACAGTAAGCCAAGATTACCCCTGGTAGTGGGTAGAAATTTTTTTAGTTCTTGTGTTGTTTTAGTCATCTTCAAATTAACATGTTAAAGGCACAAGAAAAATAGAATAAAAGTCATTATTAGCAGGGAGAATTCTGTATATTCCAAATCTTGAGGGGGAAAAATGGTCATGATAGTTTAATGATAGCCTAGGAACATGTTTCCCTTTTATGTATGAAATGCTGTTAGGAAAGGAATGTATCCTGGTTTGTCATACGAGTATTTTCAGTAAACTTGACTAATCGGTGTCATTGTATTTTCTTATCTTAATGATAATTATCTTTTGTTTTTCTAATCAAGTTTTCATATGTAGAAAAAATTTCAAAGTACTTTTTAGACAAAGTGGTATGCTTTGTCTATTTAAAAATAACCCTTTTGTATCTACTAATGTGCCATTTCTATTGTAAGGGGAAATCTTTTAATTGCCTTCTTTTTTTTTTTTTTTAGGGACTACAAGAAATAACTTTGAAGGGAAAAAAGTCATAAGCTTAGAATATGAAGCATATCTACCAATGGCAGAAAATGAAGTCAGAAAAATTTGTAGTGACATTAGGCAGAAATGGCCAGTCAAACACATAGCAGTGTTCCACAGACTTGGGTAGGATTTCCTTTAGCAATTTGAAAATTAAGTATTGAGTTGACCCTTGAATAACGGGAGTTATGGGTACTTATTTTCTACCCCACCCAGTAGAAGATCTGTGTATGAATTTGGACTACCCCAAAATTTAACTACTATTAGTTTGTTGTTGAGAAGCCTTACTGATAACATAAATAGTAGATTAACAAACATTCTGTGTTACATGTATTGTATGTTGTATTTTTACAATAAAGTAAGCTAGAGAAAAGAGAATGTTTTTTTAAATTGTTGCAGATCTCCAAAAATTTTTCCAATATTTTTATTGAAAAAAATCTAGGTGTAAGTGGACACATGCAGTTGAAACTGGTGGAGTTCAAGGGTCAACTAAACTTGTTTTACGCCAATTCTATATTCTAATACTAAGTCTGGTTCTGGAGTTTTTCATAGGCATCCTGTATTCCTGTGCGAGGAAGGTTTGTGTATTGTTCTGGCAGACTATGGAAGTGTTTCTCCAAGGCCTTTAAGGCTGCTTTTTAACACCGTAACATTTGAAGAGTGCTTGATGCTGGAACAAAGTTCAAATGTGCCAAGACTCTTAGTCCCTGAGCAGAACAGCCTTTTGCTGAAGTCTTTAAGGCCTTTTAAGAATTGTTCTGTAGTCTGGACTCTGCTTATATGAAAGTCTGTTGAGATATTTTTTTTTATGTAAATGCCTTTGAAGTTCATTAAATTTCCTTGCCTTTTTGTACCATGAAGAGTGGAATTCCAGGCTTTAAAACCAGCAATTGAGACATTTATCAAATTCTATGAAGTTATTATTTTGCTTTAATATTTAGTAATAACTATAATTTTACTAATAATATCAATTCCATTACTTTATATTTATTGCTACTTAATATTTAAATTCTACCTAATACTCATCATGAGATAACATTGTATCTCCAGGCATTACATGGAGATACACCTCATTTATTCAAATCAGAAATTTCTTGAATCACTGAAAGGTCCTTTTCTTCTTGGTGCCTATCAAACAGATTTAGTGGATAGATGCTAACTATTACCCACAGCCTTGATATCCCCTCTGATGAATGCAACTGGGATGAATTACTAAATTGGATGTTAGGGTAAAACAGAACTTGATGTTTAGTTGTGAGACTGCTTCTCTGAATTTTTTTTTATGTGTCTAGTAGATTTAACATGTAGATTCAGAGGAGATGGTAATTTTTTTTCTTCATTTTGTTTAAAGCTTAGTTCCAGTGTCAGAAGCAAGCATTATCATTGCTATATCCTCAGCTCACAGGACTGCATCCCTTGAAGCTGTGAGCTATGCCATTGAGACTTTAAAAGCCAAGGTACCCATATGGAAAAAGGTAAGTTAAAAGATCTAATTTTTTCATGTGAATATGATATTTTACAGCAATTTTTAAAGAAAGGGAATAAGAGAACATATAGATTTGTATTTGTGGGTCTTCTCTGACTTTAAGAAAATGAGAATCTTGTTTTCTTTATTTGTCAAATAGGGTGTTTATATAATATCTCTTTACCAAAGTTTGTGAAGCATGAAAAGTATATGCCCCAAAGAGTGCATAGTACAAAGTAGCTTCAACAAGTTAATGACAGTTAGAATTTCTAGTCTGGACTGTCCAGTGGTTCATTTATGAAGTCATTTCCCTTTGGTTAGAATTCCCTTAAATTAGAGGGTCTTTCTTTTGGAAAGAGGGAATAATGCATGACTATTTAGGCAATAGCTAAAATTGAGATTCCTCAAGGCAAAAAAGCCTTCTAGAACTCCTTTTTAGGAAAAGAAAAAGGTGGGTATTGACTCCTTGGAGAAAATGTACCATGAGTGGATTTTAAAACATAAAAAAGAATTCTAGCTTATTTTCTGTCAATATATCAAGCCAGTCAATAAAGGTGAATAATTCTCTGGTTAAAGGAGCACTCCAAAGGGATCAAAAAAGCCCGACTCCCTCATTTCCCCACTGGTGCAGTGATGTCAGCAGTGGGATTGCCCTGAAGCCTCAGACCTGTAATTATCCCCAAGTGCCTGGAATTGCCCACAGCACTGGGGATGATAGATAACAAAGCTGAGAGATACATTAACTGCTCAGTATATTGGAAACCAGAGCAGAGGACCAGAGGGCAGGTCTTTCCTAGGAACCTACTGCCTCAGTCAGTGATAGAGATGAGCAATTGGACTGTGAACCAGGGCCTGTCAAACTCAGTGACCATATTTTCTGAATAACAATTGAAACCTATTGTTATAAGGGGATATTTGGGATTAGAGGATAAGGTATGTGAAAGGAAACTGCCTCAGTGAAGCTCAGGTATATGGTTGCTTTGTTTTGAACGAGGCTGCCACAATTTTGATAGACCAAGAGCAAAATTTAAAACTAAAGACCCTCCATCTTCCCTGCATAACCTTGCCCAGGCTCTGTGCTGTTACAGCCCCAAATGAAATTAACTGTTTATTACCTTCTGTAGTTGTACCTTGTCTTGTTAAGGCTTCTTGTCTATCATTTCTCCTAGTAGATTGGGAGTCCTTCAGTGCAGGGAATGTGTTTATTCATTTTCTACTCTCAATGCCTCATACAAATGTTTGTTCAATTGTTAAAAGAGGAGATTTAAATAGATGTGATACTCATTTGCCCGAACTATTCAAATGTATTTGCATTTATTAAGAGGTTTTGTTTTGAATAACTGTTATAGTTCTCTTTTTCAGGAAATGTATGAAGAATCATCATCATCCTGGAAAAGAAACAAAGAATGCTTTTGGGCAACTGATGATTAAATCACACATTTTTTAGAGTACTAAAGTTTTAAATTTGGTGATCTTTTATCTTTGATTACATTTTGATTTTCTGCAGAAGTTAAGATAGTTTACTGAAGCACAATCTCTATGTTATGCAAGTGGGGCAAAAGGGAGGAAAAAAACAAAATGGATGGGTGTTTAAGATGAGGGCTTATTCAGGAGCTAGAGATAAAGGAAAGGCTTAAAGAAGAAAAGGAAGAGTAATTCAAATGCAAAGAAAGACGCCTGTAGTAGATACTCCATGATTAAGTTCTTATTGTAGCTCGACTCACACTGAGGGGGCCCCGCCTTAGCTGACTTTGTCTTAGAGCCTGCGCTACCCACCCCCGTCCCACCACCGTCACATCCAGCGTTGTCTCTGTTATCAGGGGTGAATTATTCAATGGTTTGTGGAACTGGAAATTTTTATAAAAAGTCATTATCATACAATCTTGATATATTTTCAAAATTTATATATTTTAAAAATAAGGTAAATAAACATGATTTAAAAAGTTTAAAAGAATATTTTCCTATTTGTAAAATTCAGTAAATACCTAAAATACTTCATAATCTGGAGAATTCTGTAGTATTTATTATATTACTTACTAGTATTTTATAAATCAGCATAAAATTTATTATATTAGTTACAAGTATCATATAAAGCAGCATAAAATATATTGTATTAGTTGCTAGTATCATTATATAAATGAGCATAAAATTGTTGTAAACCCAGGCAAACTATTAATTTGTGTTACAATATTAGTTGATATTTAAAATTTGACCCACAACCAATTAAAAAGGAAAATTATATGGTTATTTATTAATGAATTTTCAGATAGTTTTCTTTTTAGTTGCTTGTGCAACATTATCACTAGTGAGGTCACTAGTAAACAGTTTTCTGCAAGATTGTTAGACTGAACAATGGCCCAGTTTTTGCCTGGTCAGTCTATAAACTATCTTGATAGATCTAAGTGTATAAGTGCCATATACTTCTCAAAGTAATATAATATGTAGTGGCATAATTTTGGGCAATTGACAGCACAGAATTTTTATTATACATATTGGGAACAAAGACTATACTTTCAGACACTTATATAGTTTTTTTAAGAATATTATTTATTACATCTAGTGAAACATTTTTTACCTAAGGAATTCATTTATTCAACAAATACTGAACACCTTTTCTGCACCAGCCACCTACCTGGTCCTTATCCACCAACTTAAATACCGTGGGGAAGGCTCTACATCTTTTCTTTGCCTGAGACCTGCAGGACAGCCACACTGACATTAGGAATCTCCTGGTTATTTGGCACTTATTCCTTTGCCTGTCTAGAGAGATCAAGCCAGAAGCATCCTGGGAAGGCAGGCGAACCTTTCACCAACTATTTCCTTACTATGATGGGGTTGCCTGTCTGGTCTCAGCCTTATCCTGGATGAATTCACTACCTCCTCCTGCCCACTTCCACCAAACTTGAGAACAGGGGCTGGCAGTTGGACAGAGGCACTTATCCAACCAATTCTATCTGAAAGCATATTATCCTGGGGTTACTAGGCCACTGTAGATATCCCTAGGATTTTGTACCCATGTTGTTAATATACTTATGTCATATATAGTAATATGAAGTATATTTCAGGATTTTGCTACTAAAATATTTCAGTAGAGGATCTTTATTGATGATAATTATATTTTTGAATAACATAAAACATTCTTTAAATGTGTTTCTAGAGAATCAGGCCTTCATTAAGTAAGCTTTATTCAAAGTTTGGAACAGAGACTATTTTTACCTCTACAAAACAGAGGTTAAGGAGTTACTCTGGGGCATGCTGAAATTGGGGTGTAATGTCCCTGAAAGTTTTTAGTGAAGTACTCTGGGCTTAAATAGGGTTTTCATTGATCCTCACTTTCTCAGTGTCAGAGTTAATTGTTGAGATGTTAAGGGGCTAGCATTACTGTGGCACAGCTTTTCTCTCTGCAGCTTGGCTGCTCAAATATTTAGAAGGGTAACCAAAGAAACAGAATTAGCCTTTAAGCAAGTGGCAAGGTTACCAAGTCACTTTGCAACTGTGACTTATATGACAGCTAGGTAAGCTCACTCAAGAAATAGGAAATCAAATCAACAGGTAGCAAAATGAGAAGAATTTTTTCTTCTTTGAAAGTAATAGCAGATGGTATTTTGTGATTTTGTGGATATTTTATCCTTTGATATGTTGTTAGAGGCACCATATATTTCCAGTATGTTGTGAGAACAAGTGGGTTAAGAGACCAATAGTTTGGGTCTTGATCTCAGATCCCCAAATGAACCTGTTGTAGAATTCGAAAGTGGATTCCTGGCTATCTCTTGAATCCAGCTATTTCTTATTGCACTGGTACATCTGCCATCTAAGCTACTACTCATTTCTTTAGACTCTTTCTGTGGCCTACTGACAGTTGCCCTTCTGCCCTCTTTCATCTGATTAGGTCATTTCATCATCCAACTCAGAACCTCTGATAGCTGCATCCTAGAATCTCAAAAGTCCTCACCATGGCCTATAACCTACATGACCGGGCTCCTACCTTCCCCTCTCACCTCCTCTCCTGCCCCAGGCTCCCTCCTTTGCTGTGGCTAGGATGTGGCAGGGTTACCTGCCTTAGCACCCTTGTCTGTCCCTTTCTCTAGAATGCCCTTTCTCCAGATAGTCCCATTGCTTCCTTACTTTATTTCAGTCCTGATTAAATGTTATTTGCTCAGAGAGCCTTCTTGTACTATGCTAGTTAAAACCCTTACTCTGCTTTATACCTTGTTGCAGTTCTTACTAGTACCTGATGTACTACTTCTATTACTTTATCACTAGACTATAAACTTCCTGAGGCCAGGGACTTTGTCATCACTGCATGTCTCAAAAGTGCTCAGGAGTGCTGTTGGTATTATCCCCTAAATTAAACACACCTGACTTATGCTGTGTAGGTGTAGTGCTAACAGATGTGCAAACATATCTAGCTAAATGAATGAGCGGGTAGGGTTCTTCTCCACTCCCTTCCCTGCTCCCATCCTTTGACATCTCACCTAGATACTGAGCATCAAGCCTTAAGGCGATACTGATTAGTGTGATGCAGTTAGGCAGCTCACCCACCAGAGGGCGATAGAGCCAGGACGATAGTAAGAGCAACCCGAGTTAGATTTTTAGTGTTCTTTGCACAGAACCCAAAAGATCAGATAGTTTGTAGCCTTTTTGGTTAACTTAGGCTGGAGTGGTCCTTTGATAAAAGGTAGTCCTGAATTTTGAATAGGATGATTTCTAGTATTTATTTCATATATCAGTTTAAAATTTTAAATGGTTGATAGAATGAAGGAGGAATTTTCAAAAATGTTTATAGTTGTTAAAGGATGATTTAGAATAAGAGGAATTACGTTTTTAAAAAAGTAAATATTATTTTCCAACTTGGGACAAAATGATAGCTTTCATACAGATCTTTAGCAGTATTCCTAACCTACTCAGTGACAAAACAAAAACTAATAACCTTGTTCTTCGTAGTTGTATTTTAATGCATGATGTGTACCAGTCACACTTCCGGGCAGTGGTCTGCAGTAAGCTGCCCTTATGACTTGGTTCGCCTGAATTGAGGAAGGTATAAGAGAGGACCACCTGACTCAGGAATGGGAAATTTTTGTGTGTGGATTTAAATGGCAGCACAGGCCACCCAACCTTTGTATTAATGTGCCATCTATACAATGATGGGCACTCTGGGAGCCTGGTGTGTATCTTATCATTTCAACATACATTTCAGCATATTTAATCCTTGAAATATTTAAACCCTCTTGCTTACCACTAAAAAACCCAAAAAACCACACTGTGCAGATGACTCTGCTTTTACATAGTGGATTTTTTTTCTCTCCACTTTGGCCAACATTGTTTTCCTACTTTAATGTGAATCATTTGGGGTTCTTGCTAAACTTTCCTTTGAATTCAGCAGTTCTGGGTGGCATCCGAGATCTGCCTTTCAAACAGGCTACCTGTCTTTGGACATTTTGAGAAGCAAGGCTTTACCCCTAGTCCCTAAGTGACAAAGGCAGTGTAAGGTTGCTACAGAACCTCCTGTGGTCACTTAGTAATGTAAGAGATGAGATCCATCCTGTCTTAAGTCTTGAATGTGTTCTGAAGCAGAGTGAGTGCATGATATATAGTGAAATACACAAGCCATAAAATTAAAGACAAAAGTAAATAGACTTTCAAAATGACTTTAATGATACTTCAGTAATTCGATATGAGAAGAATGGTTTACAATTAAATACTTTTCTGTTTGTTTCTCATACTTTAATATGAGAAAAGTCCTAGCTAATTTATGTTACTATTTCAACTTGATTTTTCTCAGAAATCAATTGTGCAACTTGATGTACAGGCATGCATACATTTTTATATTTTTGGTGGAGAGAAAAAAGGCAAGAATCAATAAACCAAAAGAGCAAATATACTTATTATATCTTAAAGATATATACATTACATGGAAGGAAATATCCAAGACAATTTCTCTTTAAAAAATATACAATTCTGACATAGTTGTGCAACATATACATTTATATTTTGACTTTATCTGCCAAAATATCTTTTTATATTTACATAATGGCTATATTTTTCATTAACATTTTTATTTCAAACTTTACCCCCATGTTTACCTCTTACCTCTAGATGTTTAGTCTTTTATATTAAAATGGTTATGTGTTAATGTACACGAGGAGCATAGTTCTAAAAAGTTTATGTAGTTATTTTCTCTGTGCAAATTGAAATGTTAAAAATGGACCAGGGAGCTCAGTTTGATGAATCCCACTTTCTGTTTAATGACTTAATTTGAGATTTTCATATATTAAGTTATAAATGCTTATCAGAATAAATACATTATAAAATTATACTTAAAAAGTATAATCACTTGTGTACTTATGATAAGTTGGTTTTAGTGTTCTTTTCACAGTTAATAGATAGCTTTTATTATTTATAAAAATAATGCCAGCTAGAAAAATTTTATCTAGTTAGGTGTTATTTTGCTGCTAAAATGAACCATGCACAATTTCAAATCTCAGTGCAAGTTTCTTCACAAACTATTTTATAAGGCTTGTGGGGCAGCCATGCATGAAGCAACTCTGTTTTTATCACTTTCTATAGATCTTGTCTATATACTATTTATGAAATGGAAATTTTAGGATGGCATCTTTTAGGCTCCATACTCTACTTACTTTTAAAAGTATGGCTGAATAGGGATATATCCCTTTTTTTCAAACAATGTTTTAAAAAATTCTTTCTTAAATACCTTGCATAAAGGTGCTTGAGACATATTCCTCACTAGAGCCTCTCCCTCAAACCTGTAATCTGTTAGAAGTTTAGGGCCCTTACTCACAGCGCAGGGCTTCCTTCCAGGAGACATAATACACACCTAGAGACGGGGCAGAGGGGGCCTCTGGCATCCGGTAGATAGAGGCCAGGGATGCTGCTAACATTGGACAATGCACAGGTCCACCCCACAGCAAAGAATTACCTGGCCCCAAATGTCAGTAGTGAGAAACCCTGCCCTCATGCAGTAAGTGGTGCAGAACAAGTGGCTAATGTTTTAGTTTGTAGTAATCCAACTTCTTCATGGAAACAGTGTCCTCAGGGCAGAGTCCTAAGCCCAAGGCTTGCCAAGGCTCTTGAGCTTGCTGGGTCCTGACCTCAGTTTAGTGCTTATCTAAGGAAGGTGAGGCAAAGTACAGTAGAAGTAAAGACATGCTATAACTTTTTTGTACATAGCACACTGAAGAGCTACTATCTCTCTATATACACTCAGCAGTTACATAGCTTATAAATGTTTATCAAGTTCATGACCAGTTTCTCCTCCATTTTTTTTAAATAAAATTTTTATTAGAATGAAAGTGAATCCACACAGCTGTTGTAAGAATTGGCTTCCAGCACATAGAATACTATATGGTTTTTTCCTATAAACCCCAGACATTTTACGGCTGGTTTTATTCCTCTATCTTATAATTGTGTTTTATCAAGCACAAAGTAAATCATTAAACAGTGCAGATAGCTCTGGACTGCCAGCAGAGAGGCTACGCAGGCACACACAAAGAAATACCTGTTTTTCTTTGACTTCCTGTCAAATTCTTGGAGGATTGTCTACTTGTATTACAAGAAATCCTGATCATAGACTTCTAAAGCTAAAAGTGTCGCTGCTGAGCTCTCACCCAGTCTTCCCATTTTATAATGAGGATGCTGGAATTTATGGAAGCACAGTGACTTGTCCAAAGCTTTGTTTTGCAATTCCTGACATAAAATAGTCTCCACTGCCTTGGCCTGCGCCCTTTACTCCCCACTCTGTCCTAGAGAATGTGTGATCTCAGAAATAGAGAAAAGATGCAAAAGGAGAAATGGGTTGTATTCCTCAAGGTGGTCTGTTTACACCATAACGACCAGGATGCTTGTGAAAATGTGAATTACTGGGCGTCATCCTAGTCTGACCAAATAAGGCTCACGGGAGTTGGGGCCTGAGAATTTACCTCGTGAGCAAATTTGCCTGGTGAAAGTCATTCTGCAAGTTTAAATCCTCTAGAAAGAAAAGCACAGAGGGTGGCCTGGTGGTCTCCAATATCCATCCCTTTGTGGTTCCTGGCAAATTCCTAAGACTTTGTTTTCTTTTACCTTGTTTACACTGCTTGAAATTCCAACAATTAGAAATTTACTCAGGCTTATTTTTCTCACTTGTTTAGCAATAAATGAGAACTGCTCCCCGAAGTTGAGATGATAGGACAGTAATTCTGACAAGTTAAACAGGAGTTTTCATCCTCACACTTGGTAGAAAGCAGGTGCTCTGATGAACAGGAGACTGGATAAGGGATAAAGGAAGGTGGGCTTCTAGAAGATTGGGGCACCAGGAGGTGGGAGAGTGGCTTAGTCCGGAAGGAGGAAGAAGGCCAAAGAAATTGTCTTTAAAAAATGTACTAGTTCTTTGCCAGCCAGCCAGTCAAGGCAGCCTGCTGTGCATCCTGAAGGAGAAAGGAAACTTCCTACTTAGTCCCCTGGCACAGGGAGGGCCTCCAGCAGACAGGATTTATTAATATAAACAAATGTTATACTACAGGTTTTAAACAAAATTTTGTGCTTTGGCCTTAAAACTAATACCCTCCCACCCACCTCTTCTTGAAGGGAGATTTCCTCTGCAGGAAGCATACTCTAGACTCCTGCCTTATGCAAGCATGTTTTGTTAAGTACCTCGTAGCTAAAAAAGGACTGAGGAGGCAGCTGTGGGCTGACAACAGCAAATTTTACTTAGTTTATAAACAAAATTATCACTTAAAATATCCTTTGTGGCAACTTTGGATGAGCAGAAAGACCTGTTTCTTTTTCCCTCATCAACATCGACATCCAAGCTACTTATAAATAACCAGCATTTCCACTTTCGTTGTTGCTGTTTAAAAAACAAACATTTTAAATGATTGGTTTTTTTTACCCCCAAAAAATCTAACAAAGGTTATATTTTTAAGACTTCTCATGTTTGGAAGCATTTCATGTTTCTGACACAATGCACATGATAACATAAACTCTGGACCAGCCAGTGTAAAGATCACTTATTTCCCCAATTAAAATAAGTCTTTTCCCCATTAACTCCTACCCTCTCTGCCCCCCAATTTCTTATTTCTAAACTGACCTGCAGTTTTCTTGAAATATCAGGCTAGTTGTACCCTAATACATTATAAAACACAGGGATTTAAAAAACTCCACTCATGCAGGTAGCAGACCCGGGCTGTGGTGCTTCTGGTTCCCACTCCAGTGACTGACTGTGGTGCTTTAGCTGTTGAGTTCTGTGGTCTCATCAATCTCATCTGGATTTTTGGTCATTTTTTTATATTTTCTTTTGAAGAAGCCGAGCTGTAAGATGATGTAAAAACGTTACCACCCATGGTTTATTTTGTATGGAGTCTTGGGCCCCCTTTGGGTGCCCACTTTCTCTGAGCATTGCTGATGCTCTAGAGAGGCTAGAGTGCAGACTGCTGATCTGGCATCAGCCCTCCAGTGAGGAAATTCATGTCCAGAGAGTTGAACTAAAGTTAAAATCTTCAGAGTCTACTTATTTGCAGCCCAACAAAACATTCAGAGGTCTTGATTAAAAGAAGAGGGTGGTGGGGAAGGGATAGGGGCCAAGATCATGGAGGAAAGATCCTTAACTGGTTGTTTTTAAGGACATGAATGAAAATTTGCAAATAAATTGCATTTCCTTTTGTCTTACACTGGCGAGGTACCATATAAAACTTAAGGTTGCTGTTTAATAAGGAAATTCAAGACATAGGTCTTTAGCAGCCCTGTATTTTTAAATATGAAATTTTTCTTACCTTCCATAAAATCGCCACTAGAGCTAATAGCAAAAGGATTCCAGCAATTACACTTCCGACTATAACTCCAGTTGGTACTTCAGCTTTCTCATGGGGTTTCATTATCGTAATAGGAATCTGTCAATGTATATACACAGTAAATTGAGTTAACTAATGTCAGCACTGATAAAAGTGGGATGGTTTAGTCAAATTCTTTAATTTTACAAATGATGGTCTAGAAAGGTGATATGATTTGCTCATGATCATGTTCCTCAATTAAACATTGTACACTGCAGTTTCTAGAGGAAATGCTCCTGCAAAGTACAGGCAAGGAATACAAGTTTTCTAGTTTCCTCCCTTTAATTACATCAGTACTTAGCAGATATGTCATCTGTGAAAACTTCACATGTCTTAATTACTTGTGAAATAGGATCTTAAATTAATGGAAGACAGTCTCATTGTCAAGTGAAAGCATCTGGAATGTGGTCTTGGGGACGGGAGTTAGACCAAACAAAACAACCCAAATCTCTTGTAATTACACAACAAACAATAACAACAACCTTGCATTTGCTCCCTAAAACATCAATTACATTTAACTCTCACTCAGGATTATTTGAGAGGGATTGTTAAAAGTAGAACATCCAAGGCTGAAGTTGACCTTTTCGGTGATAAATTGTCCTTGAGGTTACATATGATTTTTTATGTCTATTTCCTAGATATCTTTGTGACTCTGTAATAGTATGGCTGCCCTAAGAGTTCTAACAGTAAACTGTGTGTGTTGTATATAGTATGTATGTTCTTACTTAATTGCAGCAAGAATTGGAACCATTTCCTCCAAAGAGTATATTCTTAAAGGACTACATTTGGGGCCGAAACATAGGGGGAAATGTGTTTACTTGATTTAACACTGTATTACAATGGCAGATGAGCTGCTTTTCATTATAGAATTTATGAATGGGCTAAACCTGAGTCTGGCCTTCAGTGACTTTTGTCTTATGTGTATCTTCAAGAGCTAAAGGCTTCATAAATTTAGGAATAAAATAACTATAAATGCATGTAGTTCACTGCTTATGTCAGACATATCCCTGCATCCCTGCTTCTGTTCCAGAACTTCCTATCTGGGCCATAGATTCATGGGGTACAAAATTTTTTTATAGGGCCTGGGGGAGAACGTGCCAGAGCAGAAAGAGCCTGAACCCATCTCCTCCCCATACACACTGAATCTAAACTTAACACAGAGAGCAGTTCATCCTGAGGACGAGCTGAACCTGAGCGAACACCTGCACCATGAGAGATAAAAAGACCACATAAAAAAAATGGCAGGAGAGATGGAAACAGAAGAAGCAGTGGGAGCCCCACTTCCAGCATGGCCCTGCAGTAGGGAAGGATATCACAGAGGGACCTGAGCACAGATCTGCCTGCTTGTTCTGGGGCATAGAAAAAAGGCTGCTGTTTAAGGGAGAGCCACACTATTTGTGAAGGAAAACAATTTTAGAACAAAAGCATCAACTAAACATGGGGGAACAGCTAGCACTGAGACTGTAGGGGCTGGTGAGTGACACTGTTTATGCTCCCCCCTAGCACTTCACACTCCCCCCACCCCACCCCACACACTTTTCTAGTGTGGATGGGAGCAGGGTGAGCAATGTCATTTACACTCCTGCATGTTGCCAGTACAACAGAATCAGGGTGAATGCCATTGCTCCCTAAAACATCAGTGTTCCCCACACACACTGACAGTGCAGTGGAGGCAGGAAAAGGGTTATAGCAGCTCCAGATGTGATAGAGGGGGCCACTCGGCCCCTGCTCACACCCAAATACTCCTGTCAGAGATCCACAAGTCCCACCAAGGCAGCATTAGTGTGATGCTCATGCAGATTCATCCCACCTGCACCTCTTCCATCAGTGGCTGCCCCAATTGGCACCAAGCCAGGGTAGACCTCTGGACTGCAACCCTCCACCACCAGCTGCCCTATTAGTGCAGCCCTGGCTAGCACCCACCTGGGAGCCCCCGAGACTGGACACCCTATCAGCTGGTGCAGCTCCAGTTGGTGCCCACCCAGCCTCCAGTCCAGCCACCCAAAACCATCAAGCACATGCAGTCTACCCAGGGGACATTCCTATACAAGGTCATGCCTTCAAGACTGGGAGAAGTAGCTCTTCAGCCTAAACTATAAAAACACAAAGTCAAGTATAATTAGAGGAATATACTTGAAACAAACATGACAAAATTTCAGAGAAAGAACTAAAGGAAACAGAGCTAAGCAATCTGATGAAGAGTCTAAATTAATGGTTATAAAGATAACCACTGGACTTGAGAAAAGAGTAGATGAACTCAGGATTTCAACAGAGATGGAAAAATATAAAAATATCAGTCAGAAATAAAAATACAATGAATAAAATGAAAAACGTACTACAGGGAGTCACTAGCAGATTAGACAATGCAGAAGAACAGTGATATGGAAGACAAAATAATAGAAAACACTCAAGCTGAACAGCAAAAAGAAAAATGAAATGAGGATAGGTTAAGAGGACTCTGGTATAACATCAAACATCTTAATACTCACATTATAAGAGTCCCAGAAGAAGGAAGAAAGTGGAAAAGTTTTTGAAGAAATAGCTGAAAGCTTCCCTAACCTTGGGAAGGAAACAGATACCCAGGTTTAGGAAGCCTATGGCCCCAAACAAAATGAACCCAAGGAGGTCCACATGGAGACACATAATTAAAAAGTTAAAGGTCAAAGACAAAGAGAATGTTAAAAGCAGTGCCTGGGCTCACATGTGCAAGAGAAAAACAGTGAGTTATGGGAAACACCATAGGCTATCAACTGATTTTTCAGCAGAAACTAAAGACTAGAAGTGATAGGCATGATATATTCAAAGTGCTGAAAGGGAAAAACCTATAACCAAGGATACTCTACCCAGCAAGTTAATCATTCATAGTTGGAGAGAGAAACAGCTTCTCAGATTAAATACAGGCTACAGGAGTGCACCACCTAGCCAGCCTTACAAGAAATGTTAAAGGGGCTTCTTTAAGAGAAAAGGAAAGGCCATAACTAGAAGAAAATGATGAGAAAGCAAACAAAAAAAAAAATAGGTCAATCACTTAAAAGCTAGTATTGAAGCTAAAAGACAAAAGTAGTTAAATAAACTACTAAAAATTAGTCAAGGGAATCACTAAATAAAAAGGTGTAAAAGGAACCGTCATATACATATGACATGAAGGGGGGAATAAAAAATGTACTGTTAGAATATGTGTAAACTTAAGAATGGCTATCAACTTAACTATCTGTATATTAAGTTGATACATGTAAGATGTCATAGATAAACCACATGGTGACCACAAAGTCTATAACAGATACACACAAAAAATAAAGAGAAAGGAATCCAACCATAACACCAAAGTTATCAAATCAAAGGGAAGAGAGCAAGAGGAGAAGAAAAGATCAGAGAGGAAGGACAAAAATAACCAGAAAACATTTACCAAAATGGTAGTAAGTGCATACCTATCAATAATCCCTTCAAATGTAAATAGACTCATCAAAAGACCAAGGCTGACTGAATGGATAATAAAAACAATACCCATTTATATGCTGCCTACAAGACACCCCCTTCAGACCTAAATACACATACAGACTGAAACTTAAGTAATAGAAAAAGATTCCATGCAAATAGAAACAAGAACAAAAAAACTGGAGTGGCAATACTTCAACCTTAAAACAAAGACTAAGAGACAAAGAAGGACACTGTTATGATTAAGGGCTGATTTCAACAAGATGATATAAATATAAATATCCAGTCAATAGAGCAGCATCTAAATACATAGCAGATATTAACAGTCATAAAGGGAGGAACTGACAGTGATACTCTAATAATAGGAGACTTTAAACACCCTACTTAATTTAATGGATCAATCATACCGACAGAAAAATCATTAAGGAAACAATGGCTTGAACAACATGTTAGACCAATGGACTTAATAAATACAGAACATTACATCCCAAAACAGAATACTCATTTTTTTCAAGTGCACATGATACATTTTCCAGGATAGATCACATGGTAGGCCATAAAACAAGCCTTAATATTAATTTAAGAAGACTGAAATCATTCCAAGCATCTTTATTAACCAAAGCAGTATGAAAAATCAGTTACAAGAAAAAAGAATGGAAAAAACAAAAACACAGGGAAGCTAAACAGCATGCTACTAAACCAACAATGAGTCAATGAAGAAATCAAGGAGTAAATAAAAACTACTTGGGAAATAATGAAAATAGGAACAATCATTCAAAACCTTTGGGATGCAGCAAAAGCAGCTCTAGGAGAAAAGTTTTTAGCCGTACAGGCCTACCTCAAGAAACAAGAACAAACTCAATCAATCTAACCCTATACCTAAAGTAACTAGAAAAATAAGAATAAACCTGGCTCAAAGTTAGTAGAAGGAAGGAGTCAACAGATTACAGCAGAAATAGAGACAAAAAAAAAAATACAAAAGCTGAAACTAAGCTGGTTCTTTGAACAGAAACAAAGTTAGTGAACCTTTCATCAAGAAAAAGGGACTCAAAATTAGAAACGAAAAAGAAGTTACAAATGACACCACAGAAATAAAAACAATTATGAGATTATATGAAAAATTAAATGTCCACAAATTGGACAACCTAAAAAAGTGGATAAATTCCTAGAAACATGCAATCTCCCAAGACTGAACCAGGAAAAAATAGAAAATCTGAATAGCCCAATTACCAGTAAAGAAATTGAAGTGGTGATCAAAAACTCCCAAATAACAAAATAACCAGATGGCTTCACAGGAGAATTCTATCGAACATTTAAAGAAGAGTTGATACCTCTTCTACTCAAACTATTCAAAAAAAGAAAGAAAAAATTGAAGAGGAGGAAAGCTTCCAACTCATTCTACAAGGCTAGCATCACCTTGATACCAAAATCAGACAAGCACTACAAAAAAAAGAAAATTACAGACCAACATTTCTGATGAACACAGATGCAAAAATCCTCAAAATACCAGCAAACAAAATTCAAAAATACATCAGCAGGATAATTCACCATGACCAAGTGGGATTCCATCCCTATGTAAGGATGGTTCAATATCTGCACATCAATCACTATGATACACCACATTA